GAAAAAAAAAAAAAGCAGAAATGATGGCGAGAGCCTTTATAAAAATTCATTGTTCAAATAATATTAGAGAAAAGGGAAAAAGCAAAAAGGAGAAAACTATTATGGAGGAGAGAGAACTATAAGGGCAACAGAAAATAATTCATTACGGTCCATTTACAAAGAATGATTTAAATGATGGGGGTAAAAATCTGGAATTTATAGTTCGAAAATTACAAACATCAGTTATGGCTATTAAAATTTGGTCAAAGTAATGGGGAATTCAATTTTCAATGGAGTAAAACAAAAATCGTATGTTTCACTAGAAAAAGTGTGAAAAATTATATCTCACTTAAATTATATGCTATCTGGTTTGCTGAAGGAATAACATGGAATGTCCATATAACAAAAATAAGATAAATGTAAAAAGACATTAAATGTGTAAATTCTTTATTGTCCCACAATAAAGAAGGATTTAATCAAAATGGTTATTTATTGGAGTATTTTTTTTATTTTTATAATTTAGCTTCAAACATGTCTTTAGAAACATTAAACACCATTTAACACCAAGCAATGAGAATTATTACTGGAGCAACTAAACCAAACCTGCAGCATCTTTACTGATAGAAACAGAAGAAACAACATTAAGAATAAGAAGGAATCAGTTAGCTTTGAATCACTAGATAAACTTGAACTCAACCATCCAACGCAAGAAGTGCTGGAACCATGCTGGGGAAAAGTAAAAAAAACAAACCAAAAGTTTTGGATGGAAAATTCATTATTAAACTAAAGAAATCCAGATTAATATATTTAAAATGACTCCATTAGCACCTCTGTCAATTATAAGTGCATGGGTATTTATAGACCCAGTCGTGGATCTGGAATTATTAGAAACTAAGGAAGGAAATCATTGTTTATTACATTTAAATATAGTTTGAAATATAGTAATAAATATTCTGGATATGTTAAAATAAATACAGATGCATCAAAGAACATAGTGGATCAGCTCAGCGTCGCAGAAATTATCCCTCAGTTTGGAGTGAAATTAAGTAAGATAATTAATGATCAGGATATATAAGTGAAATGATTGTAATATTATTAGCTCTGCAGTGGGTTGAACATAATCAACCATTAAGATCAGTAGTGTATTCAGATTCTAATTCATGATTGGTTAGTATTAAAAATGTCATCATGCCAATTAAAAACAAACACACCTTGGAGGTAAGAAGGTGTTATATTTAGGTATTGTTGGGTGACTCCACCTGGATGAGAAATGAATGAGACATGATTCCAAATCGATCAGTAAGCAACCTCAAACCATTCTGCTACCCTCAGTTAAGCTGGTTCATGTTTGATTTGTAATCCTGCTGCTCTAACTTTAATTACCAGATCAATAATTGACTAACATGTTTTTCTGGGAATGTAATAAAGTCATAAATTTAGCAAACTAAACATCAGCTGGGTCATGAATGGGTCAGGCTGTGCAGGAACATGTCCTATAAATAGAAGTTCTCCTCCTCCTTACTTTAACTGTCAGGTCTACACAGGCAGCTACAGGTAGCTTCAGTGTTGACACAGGCAACAAACAACAGAGCAAGCTTCGTTTTTCTCACCATTTGACTCTGGAACAGTAAGGTAAGGCACAGTTTTCTCATTGAACTGGAGCAGAGTGGATAAACACACCTGCTGTAGTTTCATTTTTCATCTGAAGCCTATTTTCATTTAAGGGGGTGAAACTGTAATACATTTAGATGTCCTGGACCCACTGCTCCCCAAGGGGATGGGTTAATTGCAGAGAGTTCATTTTGTTGCTGTGTACTTGTGACAGTGGAATGACAATAAAAAAATAAATAAAATAAAAAACGTTGGACTTCGATAACTTGCCCATTCCAGAAACTAGAAAGGGCCAAGTCAGTGTATAACCTTAACCCTGTCAGTGCATTAAAAAAAAACTTTTTTGTGCAGTTTTTAAGAACATTTCCTTTCCATAAAGTGCAGCAGTGATCAAATGCAAACAGTTTGGGAGAAAAAAAAAAAAAAAAGCATTTAACGCAGAACAAGTTCTGAGTACAACTTACCCTTATTTCATTGCATAGTGTCAGTATTTGATACAGAAAAACAAAATGTAACATTTAGTCAAGAAATCTTGGCTTACAAGACTGGCAAATGGCCAGAGGGGTCCAGGTTGACTCTTCAGATTCCCTGCCTTCGTGATTCAGGTTGTAGTCCACCTCAAAGACCCAGACATGACACATCTTCAACGCCCTAACTGAGGGGGTCCTGATCTACGCCTCCAGACCCCGCCACCCCCACCCACCCATACGATGCTGTTGTCCTGCACCCTTATCAGAAAACTCCAAAGAATGATGGCTCCACCTCCATGCTCTAAGGTTGAGATGGGGTTCTTGGGTTGTTCTCCTTCTTCTTTTTCTTCTTTCAAATGAGTAGAGTTAATATCAGAATACTCTATTTATGGACCATTGTTGAATCCAGTCTGTAGGGAGGTGCCGTCTGCTTCAGGATGTCTCTGTCATGATGGGTCTCTGTGATTAAACCCACATGCAGAACACCACACGAAGCAGGGTAAAACTTTAACAGTTTATTAAAGATTTGCAAAATCACAGAAAGACAGAGCACTGGTTCTGGTACTGGTCCGGGACTCGGTTTCACAGAGTATCAGTAGAGAGGGATTGTTTGGTTAGCCAGGCAGCAGAGATAGCTTGGCAGAGTTTGGATCTTGGTTTGTACCTGATGAGGTTCAGACTGTTCAGTAGAGAGGGAACCGGTTGGGTCCAGAGACTGTGATTCCAGCAGAGAGTTCAGCAGCGACAGAGCTAGCTTCAGGCTAGCGAGATTCAGACCTTGAGATGTTCTTCTAGTTCTCCCCTGAGAACTAGTTGGAAGATTCAGGCTGAGGATCTTCAGGTTTGGCTTCTTTGGGCAGACAGGCAGGCTTCCAAACATGAGCTCCTCCAGAGCTACTGAGTTAAGTCGAGTTTCCTGTGAGCAGAGAGAACAGAGACTGATTAGGATCAGGTTACTCTCTAGAGCAGACAGAGATTCTTAGTTCAGATTGAGGCTCAGGTTCCGCTAACCAAAACTGGTCAACACTCCGGCGCCGAAGAGAGGTCTGGTCGCTGCTTAAAGGAATAGTACACCCAAAACATGATTAGCCTTCATTTTCTACTCACCCCCATGCTGAACAACACTCTGGAGTACTTTTTTGATATCTCAAA